GGGGGGGGGGGGGGGGGGTGCAGGATAGACTCAGGGCCGGTAAATAGTACAGTTTAAGTTGTCGGAAGTTACACACAGCGTGACACAAGTAACTGGCCCGATAAACAGATCACGAGCTCAAATCCAGATGGATATATAATGATGTTAAGGAGATGGAGAGTTCTCTCTACGAGGAGGCAAGCGAGAGACCCGTGATGAAACGATCGATCACTGTACGCATCCCTGTACCGATTGTCTTTTCTTTTCTTTTTTTGTCTTTTCTTTTCTTTTTTGTCTTTTCTTTTCTTATTTTTGCAGTGGTGGAAGGTTTCCATTACACGATGATTGTCATATATGAGTGACGAGATTGATGTCCGCATTCAAAAAAAAAGAAAGGAGAAAAAAAAAAATTTAAATGATTGATATCCGCATTCCGATCAATCACCAAGATTGATGTCCATGTGACGATCGAGACAATTGATGGTCATATATGAATGAAGATCGACCAATTTTTTTATCTGTACGTTAGGGACGAAATCAACAGATCGATCCCTGTATAGGAGTGGCACAGTAAGCGACATGGACATAATCGATGACGATATAAGGAATGTGACACGTGCACAAATATGATTGAAAAAGAAAATGGTGATGTGCCGTGCGTGATGTTATAGATAGATCAATGGCGATAGCGGCGAGATAATCGATGGTGAAGAGCACCGATGATAGCAAAGGGTGAGTTAAGCGGCTAGAGAGAGAAACAATGAGCTGGAGGAAGAAAGAGTCCATAACCAAATGATGCAAAGAGAGAGAGGAACCAGTGCAAGTCCTTCTTGACAACTTACGATCCTCGCTATGAAAAGCTTAATAGTGGATACTCTGTACTGAGGAGCGGAACCCAAGCAGGGTTGAGCTCGTCTTGTCAGTTATGGGAAAGCGAGGAACCTAGAGGGTGCTAGGAGGAGGACCTCGTCTTGTCAGTTGTGGGAAAGCGAGGAACCCAGAGAGAGAGGAACCCAGAGGGTGCTAGGAGCGGAACCCAAGCAGGTGCCACAACAATTCTCTCTCTCTCTCTCTCTCTCTCTCTCTCTCTCTCTCTCTCTCTCTCTCTCTCTCTCTCTCTCTCTCTCTCTCT